ATACTATTACCTTGGGTGAACTTCTAGATTTGATTTTTTCTGACATTATCTTCAATTTCATTTTGTTGTCTTGAATAACATGTGAAATATTGAGGTAATTGGTTTGGTGTGGATGTCTCTGTAAGCAAATCTCAAAAACTTGAGTCCATGCATATTAAGTACTTAATTTGCATATTATCTCATTTCAGCCAGTTTAAGCAAAATCTCAAAAACGGATTTTGATCAAATTTGCTATATATTGGTTTATATACTGAACATCTGCTGGCAGATAATCTTAACATCTAATGCCATTGCTTTTTCACTGAGTGTTGGGAATTTTTATTTCCTTGATATTTTTTTTGAAACAACAGTGTTTGCATATATTCTGTAACACACAAGAGCTTTGCAAAGTTTAACTTTGGTTAATTATATGAGCTCCTACAGCTGCAGCTAACTCGGCAAAGTTATGCCAGGATCTTTAATACAGTGTATTACCGTACTAACTCTATTCACGATAATACTACCGGTAGTATTACCAACCTTACACTCACTCATAATAAAATTTAATAAAATTAATTTAGAACACCAGTATATAAAATCATGGATATATCATTTACGGTACATACAATATGAATAATATTGGCTCAAGCAGTAACTAAAGAGTGAACATGGTGATATAACTTGTAATATTGCTTGGAAATTGAATGTTACACAAAGTAACTATTTTCTCTGCTTCTCTCCTCAATTTAAATTAAAGGGGCACTTCCAGTTGAGCCTAATCTTACAACAAATTTACTTTCTGGATTAAAATTGCAATGGATAACAAAAGATAGATTTATTTTGTAAACAACATAAACAATAGTGTCCCATGATTCTTTGGTGCAATCCCTGGGCTTGGAAGTTTCCCCTTTAAGGTTTAGTCGATTGTGCTTCTCAAATACTTTACTGCCATGCTACAATTCATGATTTTACCCGTATTTTGTTTTATCTATTGAAAATGTCTATTTTGCAAATTTTCAATAGACACTCCCTTACTTTATTGAAGAAACAGCAGTCAAGAATAAAGTGCTCTTTGTCTTATTACTTTTATATTTTTGACAAATCCTAAATTTAGGCTGTATTTTAGGGGTTTTCCTTCCCACTTCAACGTCCAGATTGTGGTTACTGAGGTGATAGTTGGATAACATTCTTGCAAACTAAAATGCGTTTCTAATTTAAATTTTTTTTTTCAATATTAAAATAAGCTATTTTTTTGAAATTTAACACTCGTGTTTACATTAGCTGTGATGTCACTCATCAACTACGAACAAGTGGCATTAGGTGATAACCTCGTGTTTAAAATTTAATGTTTCTTGCCCACTTCCGCTCTCATTGGCTTTCAAATCTGCATCCCATGCTGATCACCTGGTTCAAACCATTCTCGGTATTTTCAGGCAGCTGATTGATTTTCGCTTGTCCCCAGCGTCTTTTGCGTGAAACGGTTTAGTTGATTGATTTAGTCAACGGATTGATTTTGTTGAAGCGCCACAAACGGTAGCTTACGGTGAAGGTCACCTTTTTGTGGACGGTTCTTTGGTTAACATCTGATTCAGATTCACTTTGGGTAGCCATTTGCAACATTTAGTTGTCTGAGGTTAAATGTGCATGTATCGTTTGGTTGTGCCCTACACAAAATTAAATTGAAACAGTTTCGGTTGGTCAAGAAAAAATATTGTTCAAGGTAAAGCCATTTCAGTGGATTCACTAGAAGAGCCCGAATCCAAAAGCAATGACGAATACTGTTAAAGTTTGGGGGCTTCGTCGGATTCAGGATCTAGTCCGAAAAACAAATTAAATGCGCGATTATGGAGTCAGTCTTTTCGAGTGAAGAAACCGATTTTCTTGCAGAAAAGAGGACACTGTTTCAAAAGGTAGGTAACGTGTGTCTGACAAAACAATGAATACGTTTTAACATGACCTATTCTTGAGTCAGGTCAGGTCACCGTCAGTCTATATCATTGACACATTTTAGAGTTGGTCCAACGGGAATTGTTAAAATTTATCGATTTGTATATACTAGTATATAATAGCACATTTTTCGTATTGCATTTTTGATACGTTTTGATGATCTCCCACCAAAAGATAATGTCCGATTCAAACGGCTTGCGTTCTTGAAAATAAAGTTATTTCGCCCTCACGTCTCCAAGCCATAAAACGATGAGACACGAACACGACTGACTGCCCAAACGTCGATAATTGTTTTTAACATATATTCAGCACAGTGGTTAGATAGGTTAGGTGTTTATTTATTAGAGATATGGCGTTAGTGTAGATAAGTGCCGCGGAGTTTAGTTTACGTATGTCGCCATTTTGAATACTCTTGGCGTAACAAAGACATTCTTTCATATTTATAAATATATAAATTTCATCATTCAAACTGAAACGAGAGGTTTCTATTGACCAAATGAATAAAATTGGAAAGTTTTATAAATATAAGATGAAGGAATCCCTTTGTTGCACCGACACTAGTGAAGACGATGTTCTCAAAATCCAAAATAGTTTGTGGGTGGCCGAATTAGTCTACTTAAGAATTTTCTTATCTTATTAAATAAATATTGTAGCATTATTATATTTGCAAAAATGTTTTGTCTTGAACTGTATACAGACAGATATCACTACTTTTTCATTCAATTGAAACATGTTTAAGTCTTTTGAAATGCAAACAAATTGATATTGTAATTTGCATTTATGGAAATCAATATGAATATTTTAGGCAATGTTTCAAACTCCAAACCACAGTGAAACTCGACCTCTGTTCCATTAGGCACCTTCATACTACCCCAATGACAGAGATGCCTGAGGAAGTAAAATTACATAACAAATCAACCATAATACTCTAGAGTGTGAGGAACTGTATTTCAATTAAAAAGATGTGCAGAAACAGTTCAAAAACAGGGACCTTTTCTGGATTTGTTTCATGATCAGATACAAGTAGTCAGAATGGCTGCTATTTCAACACCTTGCCTGATAAAAGCTCCAAAGACACCAAAATCAATAGAGAAAAAAAATTTCACTGAAATTTTGCTTGGTGTACAATGTTCTTGATAAACCATGGAAGGAACTAAAGGAAGGAGCCACGATGCCTCTTAACTGGCTTATTTCCTTTTGTTTCAACCAAAATTAATCCTGATAAGGACATTGTCTAGCTCATCTTTGATGTTGATGATAGTTTGCGATTGTATACACGATCATAGGGTAAAGCTAAAACAATAGCGTTGTGGCTCCTTTCGTTAGTACGTGGATAAATGAAACTGGTTATACACATTCACTGCGCAGTGTCATCGTGCAACGTAGTTTTGTTTTATTTTTGATAATAGGGTCAGCAGATGCAAAATCCCATTTTCCAAAACTTAAAAGCAACTGTCCACTTATTCAGAAAATACTTTTTTTGAAAATGCTTTCACAGTCTCTGCTTACCTACTGATATGGGTTTATTTTGACCATGAACTCAAAGCTAACAAAAACAGATCAATAGTTTGATAGGACAACCAGAAAAAATATAAATTGCACACAAGATACAAGTTTAATATTTCTGTATTCGTTCTGTTTCAGGCATTGGATTTGACTTCTAAATTTAAAGCTAAAGTTTTCATCATTGTCTCAGAAATTGATAATCCATCTGAATATTGGGGAAGTGTGGATTTTGTCAAGGAATTTCACACCACAGGACTGAAAGTCAGGTCACATGATGTTGAAATATTTCCAGCAATGTCAAGTGATATCTATCTGGATTTACATACTACATTGGACTCAGCAGGTACTTCTGAGGACCATCAAGTGACAGACAGTATAGAACCTGATGAGATGGAAAAAACAGAACTTTCTAAACATGAAAATAGTTCAAATACTACATTGCATTCCACACTCGCCTCTGAGGACCATCAAGAGACATACAAGAGTATGGAATCAGATGAGACTGAAAGAAAACTCTCCATTCACGGAAATGAGGCCACTCATTTTGTGAGGAGTGAAGATAGTTCAACTGACACGGATGTGGAAGCTAATGACTTTGCCATGGAAACAAGCGAGTCAGAATCAGATATTGTGAGCATAAATGAGAAGGATTCAGGAAAAATATTAGAAAATGAAGTTTTGCCAGAATCAATGGAAGTTCAAAATAAAAAATTGGAAATTAATGATAACGATGCTGGATGCTCAAAAACACTTGCCAATCAAAAGCTAGTACGCAAAAAAATGACAATTGAGGAGCGAGTCTCTCGGATAAGTAGGTTATTCGAAGAATCGTACAAATCAAAGCCTTATTCATGTGACAAATGTGGTAAGTGGTTTGTCACTTGTGCTGCATGGAAAGTCCATTTATCTGAAGCGACTTGCTCCAAAA